AAAAAAAAAAAAAAAAATACCCTTATTCTATCATATCACAATCGTCCACCAATATTTTTCTGCCTTTGTATTATTTTTCTAAACAATCGAAATATATTTTAACCTAATCTGAGGAAGATGATACTAACAAAACTTAATATTCTATCCTTAAACCAGTAAGGGTATATGATCTTTCATTTTATAATTTCGTTTTTCATTTATCTTCTGACAGTAGACCTCTGCTTAATAAAATGGAATTTTTCTAACAAATACTTGGATAAAATAAAATGCTTATTGTTGAGCTATTTCTCATGTTAGAAATTAATTTTACCACTTTTTTTTCTTATCAAGACATTTGTTGATCATTTATTGGTAATTCTGGACTTTGTAGTTTTTTTTGTTTTTTGAGACAGGATCTTGCTCTGTCACCAGGGCTAGAGTGCAGTGGCGTCATCATAGCTCACTGCAACCTCCAACTTCTGGGCTCAAGCGATCCTTCTGCCTCATCCTCCTGAGTAGCTGGGACTATAGGCTCACACCACCACACCTGGCTAATTTTTCTATTTTTTGTAGAGAGGGGAGTCTTGCGTTTGCTGAGGCTGATCTTGAACTCCTGGTTTCAAGAGATCCTCCCTCCTCAGCCTCCCAGAGTGGTAGGATTACAGGCATGAGCCACCCCACCCAGCCTTATAGTTTGTTTATTTACTTATCTTGAGACAGAGTCTCGCTCTGTCGCCCAGGCTAGAGTACCCTGGCATTAACCTAGCTCACAGCAACCTCCAACTCCTGGGCTCAAGTGATCCTCCTGCCTCGGCCTCCCTAGTAGCTGGGACTATACAGGCTCAGGCAACCACACCTGGCTAATTTTTATTTTTGGTAGAGACAGGGTCTTACTCTTGCTCAGGCTGGTCTTGAACTCCTGAGCTCAAGCCATCCTCCAGCCGCGGCCTCCCAGAGTGCTAGGATTACAGGTGTGAGCCACTGCGCCCGGCCTGTAGTGTTTTTTTTTCATTTTTTTTGAAGATTGTCCAAAATAGTCTATCCTGATCCAGGCTTTTTTAAATTCCTTTTTTTTTCAAAAAGACATGGTCTCTGTTGTCCGAGCTGGAATACAGTGGTGCTATCATAGCTCACCGCAGCCTTCTGAACTACAGTTGCATGCCACCACACCTGACTAATTTTTATATTTGTTTTTGTAAAAATGGAGTTTCAATATTGTCCAGGCTGGTCTCAAACTCCTGGACTCAAGTGAGTCTCTTGCCTTCGCCTCCCAAAGTGCTGAGATTACAGGTGTGAGCCATTGCTCCTGGCCTATGTTTTTCTTTTAATGTCTTCATTTCCAATTTTATACATAATATATATTATTAGTATTTTTTTGGTGTGTATTTATAATATAGGAAAAGTAGTAAGTAAAAGTTCCTCAGAGATATAATTAAAAAAACTTGGCAACTTAGTCCTTTAATTTCCCCCCCATGCAAATATAATTTTTTTTTTTTTTTTTTTAAAGAGACGAGAGGTCTCACTATGTTGCTCAGGCTGGAGTGCAGCGGCTATTCACAGTACCCTGCAGCCTCAGACTCCTGGGCTCTAGGAATCTTCTTTCCTCAGCCTGTTGAGTAGAGGCACCTGGTAATATAATCATGTTTTTTAAAACTACAATGCCTTTCTGGTTTTGTTTGTTGTGAAGCTAGAATATCATGACACATTATTTTATTAATACTTAAAGGGTGGCATTTTATTGCTTATGAAATATCTACACATTTCACAAAAGATTAGACAGCATTGTAGAAAACCATCTCTTTTAGGTAAGTTTTATTGTTATTTAATTTTAAAAATCTATTTTATTTTAAAATGACTGAATTGTGGTACGTAGAATTGGTTTGTTGGATCTAGAAGTTAATTATATTTTTGAAATATACTATAGAAACAACGGAACTGGGCCGGGTTCCAGTTCCAGCAACTGAGGTTGCTGTGAGCTAGGCTGATGCCACGGCACTCACTCTAGCCTGGGCAAAAGAGTGAGACTCTGTCTCAGAAAAAAAAAAAAAAAGAAACAAACAATGGAACTGGATCACCCATGATGATTAAATTGCATCTATAAGCCATAAATGGATAGTTTTTTTCCAAAAGAAATGTACTTGCATAAATTCTTTAAGGTAAAGGAGACTGATAAAGGTTTGATTGTTTTCTTATCAGGTTGCATGAAACTCGTTCGGGAGACATCTGCAATGCCTGTGTCCTGCTTGTGAAAAGATGGAAGAAGTTGCCAGCAGGATCAAAAAAAAACTGGAATCATGTTAGTTAATCTTTCTTCTTTCTGAATTATAACTCTATTATATTTAAAGTAACATTAATTTCCCCCAATTTAGGAAATAATATATCCCTAGGGTAGAAGAATGTAAAAAGAATAAAGAAAAACACTAGCTGCTGCTCAGATATAATCGCTTAACATTTTGGCATGTTTAGAACACAGTAGCCTGGTGTGGCATTTCCCTAAGGCTATATCCGATATCCCCCTTTTAGAGATTCACAGTGCACCTTCACATGTTTTTAGGCTTAACCCAGTAATTCCCAGAGTTAATTAGACACGGATTCTTTTCTAAATCTCTTACAATAATGTGTTCCTTTGAACTCAGGTTGATACCAGTGAGCGCATAGGGTATTAGAATCAGACTTGGATTTGAATCTTACTGTCACCACTTACTAGCTGTGGACTTTGGGTAGGTTACATTTATTTATGAAGTGTAAAGATACTAGCTATCTCATGGAGCTATTGTGAGAACTGAATGAGATGGTATATGTAAAGTATAACATAGTGATCACTCAATTAGAAGCTATTGTTATTCTCTATATTTATATCTAGTTGAGATCAAGCTGGCATGTTAATTTGTGTTCTGTTTGCCCTTTCGCTTTCCTTTGTCACTAGAGTTCCTCATAACATATTTTTGATGACCAGAACAACACTGTTAAGTCTTAATTCCTCTGTATGCTAGCTTTCAGAAAGAAGATTTATGAAATTTACACAAAGCTTTTTTAAGTAGGCAGGTATTTTTCTTTGCCTTTTTCCCCACACTAGCCTTACACTGTCCTTTGGTGACAATGTTAAATTATTACGATGGGTTGTGATTTTGAAGGTAGAAAACCTTCCTTTTTACATAGGGTGAAAATGTGCAAATAGTAAGTGAATGAATATATAAGAAATAGCACTATACAGAGCTAGATGAATAGCTGGGCTAGATTGTAGAAGAACATGCTATTGCCATCATGTAACTGACCTCAGGGATTAAGGTGTTTAGTAAAAAAAAGCACAAAGAATAGGTCTGAAGACCTTGGTTTCAGTCTTTTCCCCTCTCTACCCACCCATATCCATTTATTAGCTTAGTGAAATAAGGCAAAATACTTAAGTTCTCTATGCCTTGTTTTCTTTTTTCTTTTTTTGAGATGGGGGTCTCAGTTCTGTTGCCCAGGCTAGAGTACAGTGGTGTGATCATAGCTCACTGCAGCCTTGAACTCCTGGGCTGAAGCAATCCTTCTGCCTCAACCTCCCTAATAGCTAGGACTATAGGCACACACTACTGAGCTCTGCTAATTTTAAAAAATATTTTGTAGAGACTGGGTCTCATTATGTTGTCCAGGCTGGTCTTGAACTCCTGGCCTCAGGTGATCCTCTGGCTTCAGCCTCCCAAGTAGCTGAGACTGAAGGTCCACACCACTGCTTGCCTTGTTTTCTTTTGGTCTAAAATTGTAGTAACAAAAATAACCCCTTTACTGCTTTGTGGTAAAGGTAAAATCAAAAGTATATGAAAGTTTTTTGTAAACTGCAAAACATCATCCTATAGAAATGTTAGTTGTTAGGCTTGATTCTTAACCTAGCTGGGTTATCTAATAATGATTATCCCATATGTAAGTCTATTTTAAATTGTTTTCTAGCAGATTCTTGCTATTGCCCACTTCAAAGAAAAAAAAAATTTAAAACCCCAGTAGATAAATAGGATATGGGAAGTTTATTTTTCCATATCATGTGATGACTAAAAGTACACATGGACCCTCTAATACCCTTTGAGTATAAAACTGGTTCTCACTTCTTAGGAGGCAGGGCTCCCTCAAATAGGCATGGGTCAGAACCAGAGGGATACACTGGTGTAATTTTTTAAAATGATATTAAATATTCAGTATTTTGTTCCAGGTGGTAGATGCAAGGGCAGGACCCAGCCTAAAGACTACATTGAAACCAAAGAAAGTGAAAACTCTGTCTGGAAACAGGATAAAAGGCAACCAGATCAGTAAACTGCAGAAGGAATTTAAACGTCATAGTAAGTTGTGATATTAGAATGTTAGTAGAATAATTGTTTTTATTTTTGGCTGGGGGTGATATATGGTGTGTGGATCATTTTGTTCTCTATTACTTTTTTTTTTTTTTTCCGAGACAGTCTTGCTCTGTTCCCTGGGCTAGAGTGCCATGGCATCAGCGTAGCTCACTGCAATCTCAAACTCCTGGGCTCAAGCAATCCTTCTGCCTCAGCCTCCCGAATAGCTGGGACTACAGGCATGTGTCACAATGCCCGGCTAATTTTTTCTATATAGTTTTAGTTGTCCTGCTAATTTCTTTCTATTTTTAGTAGAGGCGAGGGTCTCACTCTTGCTCAGGCTGGTCTCGAACTCCTGAGCTCAAACAATCCGCCCGCCTCGGCCTCCCAGAGTGCTAGGATTACAGGTGTGAGCCACCGCGCCCGGCCGGGCCTATTACTTTTTAAAAAGAGTGCTGAAAGGCAATGTTGACTTGATGGAGATGTTATCTTATTTCTTTTTTTTTTTTTTCGTCTTACATTCTTTTATTATAATATATATAAGCAGATCTGTTGTATGTACAGTAACTGGTTCTGTCAAATAATCACACTGAGACATTCCACTGGTAATTTCTCCAAAATCAATTCGGGTAAAATTAAGATATTTATGTACTTCACAGGCTATCAAAACTTGAGACTTCATTATTGATTTCAGTTCTGAGGCCACATACACAATTCAAAATATACATAAACTGGGTTAAGGCGATAACATGGGCTGAAAGAAATCGCAGGATTCGGAACAATTAAGCTGTGTATTTTGCTTTCATTAGAGTCACAATGTGAACAGCAAACCTTGTGCGTGTCTCATAGCTCTTTTATGTAGTGCCGGGGGCTTCTGAACATCTAAGGTGACTGCATGGTGGGTGGGCAAACGGCTGATGTGACTTTAAGGCTTTGCGATGGCTCATTTCTTCTCTGCCTCTCCTTTCTTGGGTTCCTGTTTCAGTTTGTAGTCAGCCAGGGCGGCCTTGATTGCATCTTCAGCCAGCATGGAGCAGTGCAGTTTCACGGGAGGAAGGCAGAGTTCCTTGGCGATGTCTGTGTTTTTGATGGTCAAGGCTTCCTCCACCGTTTTCCCTTTCACCCATTCAGTGGCTAACGAGCTGGAGGCAATTGCGGAGCCGCAGCCGAATGTTTTAAACCTGGCGTCCACAATCTTGCCCTTTTCGTCCACTTGAATCTGTAATTTCATTACATCACCACATGCTGGAGCCCCCACCAATCCAGTTCCAACGTTTTTAGATGTCTTGTCAAGGGACCCCACATTTCTAGGATTTTCATAATGATCAACCACCTTCTTGTGGTAGAGCCGAGCCGGAGCTGAGAGCTGCCGGGCCGGCAGGTGCGGATTCCGGAGCAATAGGGCCGAAGCCTCCCGCCTCAGACGGCCGCCTCCAGCCGCAGCCATCTTGCCGGCTTGCGGCGGCCGAGATGTTACCTTATTTCTATGAAATTTTGGAACTCTGTCTGATTTTGATGTCATGAGAGTACTTTTACCAGCTAGCCACTTCTTTAAATTGTACTGAGACCACTCTGATATCTTTATTGACATCTTAATTTTCCAGAAGGTGCATTTCTAGCTTGTTTACTTGATTTTTATGCATAAGGAAATCGTGTCCTGGAGATGCGCAGGAAGGTATGTAAATAATTAGTGGACAATCTGAGACCAAAGCCCAGGTTTTCTGGAAAGTAACTTTAGAAATCATAGCTCACGTATTAGAATACAGCCAGCCTCAGGACTTTCAGGTTTAAGGGGTGGTGTGTGTTGTGTGGGGGGATAAAATGGGAAAGGAATGTCAATTAGTCTCAGGTTCCCATACTCTTATTGGAAGTTGTTGGGGAGAGTGCTATGGTAGTACATCTATATTTTGGAATTTAGATTTCAGATTTTGAAAAGGAAATATGCTGCATATAATGTTGTATAATATCTATAGCACCCTCGGGGGAGGGGTCTGAGGCAGCACTATTGAATCAAACACATTAGTATTTCTACAGCAAAATGTAGGAAGAGTCATATTCGGTGAGATAAATGGACTGTAAATAGGCTGGTCAGGTTTGTCTACTTACAAACATAGTTTGGTCATGTCAGATTTTGTGGCCAAATATGTTGAGAATAAACTTTGTGTTTTCAGAGCTTTCTCAGAATTGTGGGCAGGGGTTGTGGACCTATATTAGAGCTCTCAGTATTTTTTATTAATCTGTAGACTCTGTTAGTCAAAATATTACCAAGCAAGACGAATGGTTGTCAACCTTGTTTTAGAACAATGGAAAAAGTTTAGTGTACTGACTGGGTAGAGTTGGGGGTGAAGAACTCACTCATCTTTTGAGCATTTTGATATATGTACAAAGCACCTTACATACACAGTTATTTCAGTTATTTCCATGGTAGAGCTTAGGACAGGAAGCACAGAGGTGTGATGTAACCTTGACCTGCATCACTTAGTAAGTGGTAGAGATGATTTTGACCGCAGGTTTGTCTAACTTCAAAGCCCAGTACTCTTTCTGTAATACCACTCTGCTCTCTGGGGTAGTATAACCAATGCCCCAGGATTTTGTCTTTCCAGATTTGCTACTGACTTTGTGCTCTTGAGTAAATATGTGTTTAACCAGTCTATCCGTAGTTATTCAGATGGTATATTTAATATTTGGTGAAAATGTTTTTATATTTATGGTAAAATATTTAGGTAACACAAATGTGTGTGTATTTGTGTGTTTGAATTACACCTGTTCCTTTCTTAACCAGCTTTCAACCCTCCCCAGCCCCCCGAAAGGGATTTAACTCTACCCTCCACTCTCACAGAATATTTTTTTTTTTTTGAGACAGAGTCTCACTGTGTTGCCCGGGCTAGAGTGCCGTGGCGTCATCCTAGCTCACAGCAACCTCAAACTCCTGGGCTCAAGCGATCCTCCTGCCTCAGCCTCCCGAGTAGCTGGGACTACAGGCATGCGCCACCATGCCCGGCTAATTTTTTCTATGTATTTTTAGTTGTCCAATTAATTTCTTTCTATTTTTAGTAGAGACAGGGTCTCGCTCTTGCTCAGTCTGGTTTCGAACTGCTGAGCTCAAACAATCCGCCCGCCTCCGCCTCCCAGAGAGCTAGGATTACAGGCGTGAGCCACCGCGCCCGGCCTCTCACAGGATATTTTAATGAACATTTGAGAAATAGTAAATTTCTTCTGTCACTTGAAGGTAGGGAAATTGATTATTCATGTGTATATTCTTAGTTCTTTCCCTTAATTACAGGGAAAGTGATATCTGACTAACTTTTGCCTTTCCTAATATGTCCAGTGTAATTTTAGGGTTTTATGATAAAACTGTGCTGTGTAGTGGTTGGAGACCAAAAGTAAATCCCTTTGATAAGAGATGTAGATATTGGAGACTCAAACTAAAACAGGTTTTCTTTAGGTACATTGTATATTGCTAACACATGTGTGCAACATAACAGTTTTGAGACATTTGAATTTTTATACATCACCCATTAAATGGTCTCCCTGCCTCTGATTAGTGTTTGCTTCCATGCATCCTACGTATACCCAGCTTGTATCCTCTTCTTGAGACATTCTTTTGTGGGTATGCTAGAAAGATAGATTTAGATTTCGGGGCTGGGTGAGGTGGCTCACGCCTGTAATCTGGGAAGCCGAGGCTGGAGGATTGCTTGAGCTCAGGAGTTTGAGACCAGCCTGAGCAAGAGTGAGACCCCATCTCTACTAAAAATAGAAAATATTAATGAGGCATGGTGGTGTGTGCCTGTAGTCCCAGCAACTTGGGAGGCTGAGGCAGGAGGATCGCTTGAGCAGAGGAGTTTGCGGTTGCTGTGAGCGAGGCTAATACCACTGCACTCTAGCCCGGGTGACAGAGTGAGCCTCTGTCAAAAAAAAAAAAAAAGATTTAGATTTGAATTACAGTTCTTGTCACTAATGAATGTGTGACTCATTGACAAGAGTCACTTGACATTTAACCACAATTTCCTAATCAGAGAAATAGGGATAGATCTGGAATTTTTTCTTTTTTCTTTGTTAAAGACATAAAGTCTCATTCCGTTGCCCAGGCTGGAATACAATGGTGCAGTCATAGCTCACTGCAGCCTCAAACTCCGAGACTCAAGCAATCCTCTTGCCTCAGCCTCCCCAGTAGCTATGACTACAGGCATATGCCACCATGCCTGGCTAATTTTTTTGAAATTTTTTATGTAGAGATGGGGGTCTCATTATGTCGCCCAGGTTGGTTTCAAATTCTTGGCCTTAAGCAATCCTCCCTCATCCTTCCAAAGTACTGGGATTACAGGCATGAGCCATTTTGCCTGGTTTTATAAATCTGGATTTATGTTATGGTTCTTACTACTTACAAACTCTGGAGTCACTTGACACATACCCACAATTTTCTAATCAGAAAAATGGGGATAATCAAGTAAGAAAGGGTTTTGTTAAACAAAATAAATTCCTACGTAACTATTAGCTATTCTTTTTATGTCATCCTTCTTGCCAAAATCTATGATTTCTAGTTGCTATAGAAAGTCTTTGGAGATCCTATGACTTCTAAAATTGCAGTTCTTTGAAGATCTACATTCTAGAAAAGAGTTCTTTGTTACTGTGTATGTTGTTAGTTGTATATATCCCAGAATCTTAAGTATTATGTTAAACTATATGAAATTATTGTTTTTATAGGTAAAAAATGATCAGATAACTGAAATTTCAAATATTTCAAAGATGATAAGTACTTTCTGGGACAGTGAGTTTTCTTTAGAGCATAGAG